TCTGCTCTCAGGAATTACCCCTGGTGGTGCTCAGGGGACCATATGGGATGCTGGGAATTGAACCCACAAGTGGTTAGGGGGAGGAATGGCAGTTAGGACAGAGAGGGGCCACTATGACATCACTCTGGACAAGAACTGAGTGCTGAAAGTGTTGAAAGGAGGTAAAAAGATAAACATAATAACCTTTCATACCTGTATTGAAACCATAATGCCCAAAAGGAAAGAGAGAGTGACAGTGAGAAAGAGAAAAGGGGAGGGGGGTGGGAGTGGCAGGAAGGAGACTGGAAACATTGGTGGTGGGAAATGAACACTGAAGAGATGGTGCTGGAACACTGTATGACTAAAACCCAATCAGGAAGGGACAGTGTAGGAACACTGTATGACTAAAACCCAATCACTAATAATTTTGTAACTGTGTATCTCACGATGATTCATTTTTTAAAAAAATGATGTCAGTGGACTTTAAAAAAATTAAAATATACGGGTGAAAGTTTGGGAAGACAAAACACAACAACAAGAAAATTATTGGTGAATGAATGTCACCAAGGACAGGGAAAATGTATGATGAGCTTATTGAGAAGCTCATCTCAATAAGCTTCCAAACATTTGAGAAGACAGTACTTGATCCACACAGATGCACCTGGCTAAGAAATGCCAGAACTAGAACTCCCTTTCTCTCCCTCCCCCTCGTCCCAGTCAATACTTTGTGTGGTGCTCCCTTTATCACTGTGTCCAAATAGTCCCTCTTACAAGCCTATCCCTTGCAGTAGGAGAAAAGGGAGTCTCCTAAGCAGTGCTCAGGGAGGTCTGTGGGCCATCTTGAACCCTAATTGTGCAGCCCGAGCGTTTGGAGGTCAGACCCTGTAGGAAGATGCTCAAATGATCCAGAGGTGCTTGGGAGACAAGATTACACTCAGTGGTGCTCTGACGGGCTATATGGTCACAATAAGTGAATTCTGGGCCACGCACACACATGGCATGCATCCAGTTTTCGGAACCATCTTTTAGGCCCCTGCAATCCTTCTTGAGAAACTAGACAAGTACAGGGGTTAAGGCACTTAACTTGCATATCGCTAACCCCAGTTCAATCCCTGGCAACACGTATGGTGCCCCAAGCACCCCCAGGAGTGACCCCCTAAGCATAGAGCCAGGAATAAACCCTGAGCCTGTGAGGCATGGCCCAAATCTACCCCCCAAAATCCTTTTTGATAGCCATCCAACATGGCCGACCCGAGTTCGATTCCTCCGCCCCTCTCGGAGAGCCCGGCAAGCTACCGAGAGTATTCGATATGCCAGACACAGTAACAACAAAGTCTCCATTGGAGACGTTACTGGGCCCGCTCGAGCAAATCCCTCTTTCAATAGTATCATTATTCACAATAGCCCAAACATGGAATTAACCTAAAAGCACAGCAAGAAAATATTGACTATAAATATTTGTAGTCAATGAAACACTACTTTCTCATTAGAGAACATGAAACCATGCCTTTTGGGGCAAAAAGTATGACTCGGGGTGATTATGTTAAGTGAAATGAGTAAGGAAGTAAAAGACAGTGATGAGATAATTTCACTCATGTGCAATATAGGAGTAAAGCAAATGAACTGGCAAAAACCAACAAAACTGACTCTTAGACTCAATGAAAACCACTGTGTGTAGGATAACACTGTTTTGTCCTTCCTGCATAGCCTCAGGTAGCTTAGGTTTATTGGGATGGCCACAGTACTCCCATTCCTCTGTGTTTATTTGTAACTTCTTTCTTTGTGCTCTGTTGTCTTGTAAAATATTGTTTTTCTCTTCTCCCTAAGTCCTTTGCATAGTTTATTCAGAGTCATGTCCTTTTTGTATGGACACAAGAAGAGAGTATATGCTATGCCTTTGTAACATGACTCTCAGTGACATTTTCCTCCTGGGCATCTGTTCTCTCGACCTAAGCCTCAGGGCCCTTACTTCCTAGCCCCCCAAAAGCAGGGTCCGGACGAGCGACTGAATGGAACCAGGGCAAGCAGTAAGCTATGTGCTACCCTGGCCTGGCCAAAGTGCCATAATGCTTAAATATAAGAGCTTGGTCATGGACAAATGCTGTCATGATTTGACAAAACACCTTAAGAGGTATTTTGCCTGGAGCAGTCAGGAAGGGCTTTGGAATACCTTTTAGGTGGTGTTACCTTTGAACTTGGTGAGCCCTCAGGAAGGGCTTTATTATATATATATATATATATATATATATATATATTTTGCTTTTTGGGTCACACCCAGCAATGCTCAGGGATTACTCCTGGCTTTGCCCTCAGGAATCACTCCTGTCGGTGCTCAGGGGACCATAAGGGATGCTGGGAATTGAACCTGGGTCTGGGTCAGCTGCTTGTAAGGAAAAGGCCCTACCGGCTAAGCTATTGCTCCAGCCCCGAGGAAGGGCTTTATGTTGATTTTGCTACCTGACTGGGTGCAGAGTGGACCAAGAGTGCTGGGGGGAGTTGGAGAGACAAGAGAATTGGGGGGGGGGGGGAGAGAGGAGAGAGAGCAGGGCAGCAAGACAGACCGCAGAGAGGCTAGCTAGGGGGACGGAGAGAGAAGAATGCAGAAGAAGAATACAGGAGCAGGCACGTGGAAAGAGAGAGCCCAGGCTGGGAGATGGAGCATGGAGCACGGAGAGATGAGCAGGAGAGACAGAAGGAGACAGGAATGAGGGGCAGTGTGAGACTAGAATGGGAGGCTCAGAGAGACCAGGGCAGGCGTGTGGGGAGAATGGAATAAACGGCATCTGATCAATCAACTGGCTTGGTCCTCCTCCACCATCTGCCCCATGGCCGGGCCCACCCCAGAACCTGGGACACCAGGGTGAGCCATCGGGGCCACCCCCTGGCCGCCCTCAAAGGTATTACACAACTGCGGTTAGCAGAAAGAAGAGTGGGCTGGAAGGAAACAGTAGAGGATCCTTTACTGAAGTATTTTGATCATTCCATTAGCCATTTAGTGATAACAAGCAATGTAAAAGAAATTATTTTGGGCCTGCTACGGGGGCAGGATTTAGGGGTGGATGGGAAAACGGAGACAATGGTGGAGGGAAAGTGACAGTGGTGGTGGGGTTGCTGTTGGAATAGTAGTATATGCCTATAACAAATGTATCATGAGCAACTTTGTAAACCTCAGCATTTAAATAAAGAATTTCAGAAACTATAGAAGGGTGTATGGCCTTTTAGGAGGTTCAAGCACCCAGCTCTGCACCTCATGGAGTAATGTTACGATGACATGGGATCTCTCCACAGCAGTCCTTCCTTTCTTCTGTACACCCCCATTCTCACAAGGCTCCCTCTCTCGCCCCTCCCCTAAACATCCCAAGTCTTTTTTTTCTTTTTGGGTCACATCTGGCAATGCACAGGGGTTACTCCTGGCTCTGCACTCAAGAATTACTCCTGGCAATGCTCAGGAGACCATATGGGATGCTGGGAATCGAACCCAGGTTGGCCGCGTGCAAGGCAAAGGCTCTACCTGCTGTACTATCACTCCAGCCCCAAACCCCAAGTCTTTCTCTGTCCTATCCTCCCCCCCACCCCCCACAAACTCCCAAACCAGTTCTCAAGCCTAATGGGGAAACTCTGTTCTTGGAAGAATTGACAGCAATTTCCTTGGGAACACAGCCATGTCACCTGACATCTGAAACACACACCTCTGTCCCCAATACTGTCCGACCTGGTGTGAAATGTCCAACCTGAGGCTCCCTACATCCACTCACTGCTGGTCTGACACTGCACACCCATTTGCAACCTCAAGTGCCAGGGCACCTAACACACACACACACACACACACACCCCAGATGCTGAAGCAACGCGGGGAGACTCAATCCTTCACTGTTCTCTTCTCAAAAAGAATTATTAGTTATGTCATTTACAGCCGCCACCTCCCAGCGCCGGCGCGATTTAATTAGGTAACTCCTGCCAACTGCTTAGTACCTGGGGCCTGGTACACAGGAAGTGCCCGCTCCTGAGCTCGATCCTTTGCCTGCATTATTTTGCACAATAGCACCTGGGAGTAGGTATTAACACCACGCACCCCCAGTCCTCACACCCTCAAGACAGACAGACACACAGCCACACACAGACACACAGACACACACACACACACACACACACACACACACACACCCATTTACAGACTCAGCCGCCAAGGTTCCGAGTACAGTCGCTTTCCCAAGGTCAGGCGGGCACGGCTGTGATGCTCGTGCTGGGCCTCCGAGTGAGGGACCCAACACGGGACACGAGAGGGGCTTCCCGGAAAGAAGTCGCGAAAAGCGCGGGGGCAGCACAGCGCCGGGCATACAGACAGAGGGGACCCAGGCCGGGGAGGGACGCGGCACCGCGGGTCACCTGGCGCCGTGGGCAGCGGCTCCCGCAGCCCCGGGGGTCCGACGCCCTTGGGGCTCAGTCCGCCGCGGGCCGATCCGGCTGGCCCGCGCCCCTCGGGCCTGCAAGGGAGCGGCGGCGGCGGCTCGGCCCCGAATCCCGCCCGGCCCGCCGGCGCCCCGGGCGGGCCCCCGTTTCCAGCCGGGCCGCCGCGGCCCCGCGGGGCCAAGGAGCCTCCTACCTGCAGCGGCCGCGCGGCAGCCACGGAGACCGGGGAGGAGCCGCCGCGGCGCGGGCGCGGGCGCGGGCGCGGGCGGCCGGGCCGGGGAGCGTCTCGCAGTCGGGGCGGCCGGGCGGGCCGCGGGCTCCGGAGCGCCGGGCGCGGCGGCGGCGGCGGCGGCAGCGGCGGCGGCGGCAGCAGCGCGCCCCCGGCCGGCCAGGCCCAGCCGCGCGCGCGGCGGCCACAAAGCCCGGGAGCCGCCGCCCCCTCGCGGGCCCAGGGCGCGGGGGAAGGCGGGAGGAGAGCGGCCCCCGCGGGGTCCCCACCTCCCTCGCACCCGCAGCCCGGGCCCCCGTTCGCCTCCCTCCGCACCCCTCGTCGGCGGCGCGCGCGTCCCGCTGCCGCTGGGGTGCGGATGGGGGTCCCCTTCTCTCCCCACCTTGGCGGAATCGCTCCGGAAGGACCTGCCACGCTGTGCCGGGTTTCCATGAACACCAACAAAAGGACGCATTGGTCACGGGCGCGGGGAGGCCTGCGGCTCGGGAGTGGGCGCGGGCCGCGGCCCCAGGGAGACAGCGCTCCCCTTTCTTCGGGGACTCCGGGTCACTCGCACGCCCGCCCGGGCCTCCGCCGCGGGGGCTCAGCGCCGAGTTGCGCGGGGGGGGGTTTGCTGCTTCCATTGGCCGCCGCGCGTGTCTCCGCCCAGGTTGTGCGCTCCGAGGGCGGGTCCTGGGCCCACCTGGCCCGGCCCGGATCCCAGCCAATGAATGCACAAAGCTGCCACCGAGGCACGGGGCTCCTCTTCGGACAACCCCCTCCTCCCAAGGCTGGTGGCTTCGGTATATTCTTTTGCGCTCTCTTCTTTGGGATGATATGGTCCCTGCTCTGCCCAAAAGGGCCGAGCGGGCTCCTGAACTTTTTTTCTTTGTGTTTCGGGGTGGCGCTGAAATGACTCGAACAGAAAATGAAACACGGCCGCAACACGCTTGATTGAAAGGACTTGGGAGGAAACGTGATGTGGGTTTTCGCTATGTGCACAATTATCAAGCAACCTCGTAAGTCGTTACTGTTGCAGGCAGAGAGCGGAGGGGGCCCCTTGCCCTGTACATCACCAAAAACACTGTCTAGAATCAAACCAGCACAGAGGCACGAAGGTCTTTGAGACAAAGACCCATGTGAGGGGCCTGGGAAACTTGAGAAGCGAAATTCCAGTCCCGAGCCTCCAAGGAGGAGAGCGGTTTCACCCGCTGAACCAAAGGCAGAGCAGAGCTAAATTCTTAGAATTCAAAGAACACTGACTTGGGGGCAGTTATAAACAGAGAAAACTATATAAACTAATTCGACCCCAATAAAAATGCTCATCTCTGCCTGAGATGGGCACTTTCTTCCTTTTCTTTTCTTTTTTTTTCTTGGTTTTGTTTTCAGGCCACACCGGGTGATGTTCAGGGGTTACTCCTGGCTCAACGCTCCCTGTGGTGCTCTGGGGACCATATGGGATTCCAGGGATTGAACCCCCGCCGGCTCCATGCAGGCAAGCACCCTACCCATTGTACTAGTGCTTGGGCCCCAGATGGAGACTTTTTGGGGTGCTGTTTTGGTATTCTGTAAAGTGGCAGGCATCTCTGCCTCTGAAGTGTACTTTATGGCACGTGTTCTCCACCTTGGAATTAACTGCGTCTCTGCTTGGGATGTGTACTTTGCTTCTTCCCTTTTGAAGATGTCCATGCTCTCTCTGTCACGTATCTCCTTCTCTCTCTTCACATTTCTCTAGACAACATTTTTTAAATAAATTAGTCTGCCTCCACTATTCCTCCCTGAGAGTCTTCTCTGTGAGGGAAGGCAACAGATTTGGAAAAAACCTGGCAAGAGTTTAGAACTGACTTTCCTTTCCTGCAAAGTGCAAGACCTCACTCCAGCCTGGGATCTGGGCACCCCCAGAATGTGGGCGGTGGGGATCATTTCCAATGTCAAGCAAAACAAGTGTGATCCAGGTATGGTTTGATGACCACCCTATGGACTGGTGGACTGTGAGGTCTGTACCATGCAGGGGCTCATTGCAGACCCTCATCAGTTCTAAACCATATCAGGAACTTGCCCTGGTGACCAAGGGGGGTTAGAGGGAAGCAGTAGACTCACTTCTTGAGGCTGCCTTCTCTCTCTACTCCACTTCACATTAGTCACCCAGGGAACCCTACTTCTCCTGGGAGTCACCTCTCCCACCTTCAACAGTACAATGTAAAATGAAGCAACAAAGTATAGCCTACATTATTTTTGTTCTGTTTTGTTTTTTGCTTCGGGTCACATCCGGCAATGCTCAGGGGTTAGTCCTGGCTGTCCACTCAGGAATTACTCCTGGCGGTGCTCACAGGACCATATGGGATATGGGGATTGAACCCGGTTCTGCAGCATGCAACGCCCTACCTGCTGTACTATTGCTCTGTCCCTGTAGAGTCTACATTATTCTTACCACTAAAAATTTTTTTATTATGCAATTGACCCCTTTTTAAATTTTTTTTATTAAATTTTTTTAATAGTGAGACATCATTAGGTACAGTTGCAGACTTACACATTTTTCTGCTTGGGTTTCAATTACACAATGATCAAACACCCATCCCTCCACCAGTGCGTATTTCCCACCACCATGGATCCCAGTATCCCTCCCACCCCCCATCCCCCCCATCCCACTCTGTCTCTGTGGCAGGGCATCCCCCTCTGTTCTCTCTCTCCTTTTGGGTGTTGTGGTTTGCAAAAGAGACATTGAGTGGTATTCATGTTTGGTCTATAGTCTACTTTCAGCATGCTTCTCCCATCCTGGGAGAATCCTCCCAACACCTTTATTTGGTGTTCTCCTCTTTATCTGAGCACCCTTTTCCCCTAGTCTGTGTGGTTGGCCTCCAGGTCATGGAGAATTGACCCCTTTTGTTGACTTTACCCACAGCTCTATTTCACATTTTTGTAGGATGGAATAGAGTTTGGGCTCCACCTCATGGTGTTGGGAGCTCTTCCAGGCTTTGTGTTGTGGGTGGCTCCCAGTGATATTCAGAGGGTGATGTGGTACCTGGTCTCCAGCATGGGAAGCATCTGCTCAAACCTTTGAGCTACTGATCTCCCACTCTATAGTAAGCCATGAAGGGGCACACATCATGTTTATGCTGTTGATCCACCCTACCTCGATTTGTTCTGAAATACTTGCACCACTCTGAATGAAACCTGTACTCATTAAGGACTCATTCACATTCTCTCCTGTCCCCAAATACTGACAACCATGCATCTATTTATTGTCCTATGGATTTGCCTATTCTGGACATTCAATATAAATGGAATATTTTACTATAATATGTAGCTTTTTGCCTGGTCATTTGACTATAAATGGGATGATTTATTGTAATACCTAGACTTTTGTGTCTGTCTTCTTTCATTTTTTCAAGGTTTGTCTATAGGTATTATGCATTATATTAGTACTTTATATCTTTTTAAGACTGAAAACATTACATTCTATTTATATGCCATAATTTCTTTATCCACACATCCATTTGTAGGTATTTGGGCTATTTCCATCCTTTGACTATTATGAATAGTGCTACTCTGAATGTGTGTCCAAATGTGTTTGTCAGAATACTCTTTGGGGCATATATACTTAAGAGTGAATTACTATGTCATGTGGTAATTCTGTGTTTAACTTTTGAGGCACTGCCAACAACTTTTCCATAGTGACTGAATGAATGATTTTACATTCTTACAACCAATTATGTATAAGAAATCCAAATCCCTCTTGACTACACTAACACTAGTCCTTTTCCCTTATTTTTTTTTATGTAGGAGTACTGCTATTTATTCAGCCACTGATTAGCTGATTGAATTGTGCATGAACTCTACCTTACTTTTTTTTCATTTTTTATAATTTTATTTATTGAATCACCGTGACAGCAGTCACAAATCTTTCAGGTCTAAGTCTCGGTTATACAATGAAACACCCGTACCTTCACCAGTGCCCATTCTCCACCACCGAAAATTCCAGTATACCCCCATCTCACACCCTCCCCCTACCTGTGGGGCAGATGATTTCCACATTACTCTCTCTCTACTTTGATCACATTCAATATTTTGACACCAGACCCACCATTATTTTTTTTTATTTATTTATTGAATCACTGTGGGAAAGGTTACAAAGCTTTTAGGTTTATGTCTCAGTCATGCAAATATCAAACACATTTCCCTTTACCAATACTTATTTTTTACCATGAAGAACCCCAATAAAACCCCACCCCCCACCCCTCCCCGTCCCTGTGAGGCAGATGAATTCTAGTTAACACTCTATCTGCTTTGATTAGATTCATTGTTTCAATAAAAAGATTCACCACTATTATTTAGAGTTTACCCCCCCCCCCCCAACTCAGACATGCTGAAAAAGCATTGTGAAGTGATTTGCTTTCTACAGCTGGGTTCAAGAATTATATGTTGGTTTTGGATTTCTGCTATTTTACCTATTGACCCTGGAAGTATTTCTACTGAAAGTCAGATAGTTAAGAAATTGGTTTCTGTGTTCTGGAGTCGTGGCCGTGCTGGAGAGCCGCTCGCGGGGGGCGACCGGTGGCCTCGGTAGGGCGTGAAGGGCGGAGCAAAACGCCCCCCTTCCCATGAGGTTTTAGTCGCCCCCACATTCCCGGCTCATACCTGCTGTCCACAAGGCTCCCATGTGGCCGCCATCTTTCTTTCCAGAGAGGAGAGGGCGAATGGGGCAACACCCTTTCCCCTCCGGCAGACTTGATGGCCTGGATCAACGCATAGTCCGTTCACTTTTCTGCTCCAAGCTGCTGGGTTCTGCATTAAGTCCTTGTGCTTCTGGGGCCGTGGCCGTGCTGGAGAGCCGCTCGCGGGGGGCAACTGGTGACCTCGGTAGGGCGTGAAGGACGGACCGGAACGCCCCCCTTCCCATGAGGTTTTAGTCGCCCCCACACCCCCGGCTCATACCTGCTGTCCACAAGGCTCCCATGCGGCCGCCATCTTTCTTTCCAGAGGGAGGAGGGCGGAAGGGACCAACACCCTTTCCCCTCCGGGCAGACATGATTGCTGGATTAACGCATCGTCCTTTCACTTTTCTGCTCCAAGCTGCTGGGTTCTGCATTAAGTCCTTGTGCTTCTGGGGCTGTGGCCATGCTGGAGAGCCGCAGACCCACCATTATTATTGGAGATTTTACCCCAACACTCAGATCTGCTGAAAAGGCAACAGCAAACAATTTGTGTTCTATTGCTGGTTATGAATAACACATGATGTTGCATGGCTGCAGTAGGGCTATGTGATTTTGAAATTTGAAATTTTAACACTTAAATCTGGAGGGATTTCTGCCCAAAGTCACTGGGTTTCGAAATTTGCTCCCGAGTTTCTGGCATCATGGCCGTTGAGCAGCTTGATCAGGACGGCCAGAGAGGCCGTTCGTTCGTGGGCGTGGGCGATGACTTGGGGTCTCGTTGGGGTGGGGAGGACAGGCCTGGCTCCACCCCCATCCTGTGAGGCCCAACAAGTTTCGTCACTGCGGACCCAAGCCTGACTGTCCAATGGCCTCTGGAGGATGATGGTCACCGAGCCGCCAGGGGGAAGCAGGCAAAAGGACAGCACCCTTTCCCCGCTGGGTAGCCCGACGACAGTAACCTACTGCGGGGTCCGGACGCATTTCTGCCAAAAGCCGCTGGGTTTCGAGATTTGTTTCTAAGTTTCTGGGATCAAGGCCGTTAAGCAGCTTAATCAGGACGGCCAGAGAGGCCGTTCGTG